AACTAAAGAAATTCAATAAATAAATCTCCCATATTGTGCTTCTATCACTCACTCTAATAGGTTTATGTACATTTTTGACTATACTATATATCATACTATATAAAGAAGTCGCAGAGTTTCACATACCACAAAGAAAAGAAAGGCTTACCTAAAGAGCGAGCACTGTGGTTTAACAAACATACTGTACAAGCAATCCTTCATAACAATCCACATTCTGCAGGGGAGAATTAGCCTACACTGCTCGAGCTGAGGCTGGAAAGATGGTTGAGAGTGAGTGCTACAGACATTCTTGGAGTGTTAATGTCATCATGATGGCTTGACCATGGGTCCGCAAACTGACAGACTATCATCTGCTTCTGGCCTCCAGGCACGCTTGTGGTCCCGTGTCTCTCAAGAAAGGGGCAGAGAGAGAAATCTGCAGTTGTTTAAAGGTTACATAACACAATATTTGGAGGTGATCTATTTCTTAGAAAGACTGTGGCAGCGGTGGTGACGGCAGTGGTGGTTGTGGTCAGGCTGGAAGATTCCAATCATATAGTGGCTCTGTGTCTACTGCAGCTGAAAGCATGTATGTTAAATGTCCTCAATGGGAAGAGCAACAAGATGGATATGAAAATCCATGCAAGAATCATATCCCACTAAATCTAACAGTCATAAACAATATGTTTCCTTCATGATCTCATGTAAGAGATGTAATAAGACAACATGATACAATGTAAAACTGCCAGCGGCTGTGGAGAATCTCTTGAGACTGAGACATGCATGCATGTATCCATCATATGCACACACACATTCGTTAATGCAGTATACATATGCATGCCCCCAATAGAGTCTAATAATGCCTTTTATTGTTTTTCTGTCTTTTCTTACTTTTCCTCTCTCTGTGAATGTTGGTTTTGTGTAAAATTCTGTGTGGCCAGTTTGGCCCAGCCTGCCAGTGATGCCGATGACAGAATATTACATTTAATCTTTTTTTTTTTAAGTGAAACATTTCAGTAAAAATGTAATGACGGCGGGTCATCATGGTTCATTACAGTGCCATAAAACTCTCAGTGAGTCCATGGAGCACTTTTTCTCAGACTCCCTATCAACAGCCTGGTAAACTTATCTCTAGACCGCACACTTCCTCTCAGACATCCATAAGTAAAGCTATTGTTTGTTAATTCTCCTCTCAGAGATCAACTTGGTTATCGAAAGAATATTCTTTTCTCTTTAGAAAGTGATTGGAGAGCTACTTCTACTCTATTAAATAACAGAAGACACTGCAAGTAATATTGATAATATTAAAGATAGACAATTTGGAGCAATGGTGTTATACTACAGCACTGTAACTGTACAACTGTTAGATGCATAACATAATTCTAGTCCTCCTATCCATTTTAATGTCGGGAGTTGTTTTTGAACTAATATGATCTACTATTCAATGTTTTTTTCTTTATTTATCTTTTTCCCCAGGAATTTAAAATTCAGGTCTGCAAAATAAAGGATTCAAACTGTTTAAGTTGTTTTTTAAAAAAATATCAAAACTTTCATTTGACATTTTCAAAAGCAGATCTTTCTTCCTGTTAAAAAGAATACCCCTCTTCAATAGCGAGACACAGCTAAGGCATAGATACACAAAGGCGTTGCTCCCAAAGCAAACAACAAAGACTGTTTTTCCTTTCCAGTGTCTTCATCATAGGACTGTGATGCAGAGGCTAGACTGAGATGAGCAAAGGCTGCTGTCACCATAATCAACCCAGTCAGAAATGGGAACATGTGTCATCAAAGGAGGACTTAAGTTTATCGTAGTTCAGGAGGCTCTGCTCTCCCATCCTTTCTTTATCTCTCTGTCTATCTTTTCCCCTCTCTTTCACTCGGCTCCCCAGCCTCCTCCTGCATCACTGTGAGCAAACAGACCCCTTCCATCAGCCTTAGCTAAAGGCTAAATGTCAATCAAATAGAGAGAAGAACTGCAGGTAACACATTTTAAACACCCATCGTAGTGTCAGATTCAGATTAACCACGGGCAAGACACAGGGGATGTGTTTCCTCAAGAAACCCTTTGAATTTCAAAGAGTGGAGCAGCACCATGGTCACCTATGGAACGGCAAACTGTGAGGTACATTTGCCACGGGCTGGCCTTTAGTGCGACATCAGCCAGCCACCTAAAAGAACACTATGTTCCAAGAAGCTCCATGTTTCAACCACATGAGAAAATGCAAGATGAAAAACAGAGCCATTAAGAAGGTGACAATTATTGCCAGGAGGCACAGTGGATAGAGTTGTCAGTAGATATAACACTGGAAACATGGCATGTTGCAGGGCAGTCACTGCACTGTGGCCCTGAGAATCACAGATCTTTGGTGGAGGACAACCTAATAAATCAGCTGAGTGGCTGTTTTTATGTGGGCCCTGGACTATATGCTTTTATCTTCAGTATTTAACTACTGTGAGCCTGACAGATGCAGGCAGTAAAAGGAAGAGGTCTGATAAACAGCGCAGGGAGCACCAAAGCAATCTATCACAGCCACCTCTGGGTTTGGCCTTCTACTGTCATGCTGACAACACAAGGAGATTATCTACCTGATCATTGTATAACCTAAAGGGCAGCAGTCCGTGAAAGTGTAGTATTTCCGGTATACAAAATCAGGATGAAAATATGAACAGCTTTGTGTGACATCTTGATAAGCAATCATATCTTGATGTGTTTAAATTACACATTTACAGCAACCTCCATTTATGTAGCTTGACAAACACTAGATTTAGGAGCTTTCAACCACATCTCACAGTCTTTAACAGTGGATGAATGTAATTGAGAGTTAGGTTTAAAAAAAAGAAAAAAAAAGGTAAGACTGACCTTTCATGTTCAAATTTTTTTTTATATACTTTGGTCATATTAACTGATGGCATATAATCTACTGCTTACAATTTACTACTTCTTCTTACTTATATGTAATATATGAACTTGGACCTAAAATTCAGAGTTGGTGGCTATATAAATACAGTTTCTTAAACCCGCTAAAGACACACAAATGTGTGGTTAAATTAATAATGCAATTATAATTCATAGCTGCAAGCAAATACTCGGCTTGCACCTGTCAAAAATAACATTTCACCTCTCATGGCTTTGGACTTGCATCTCAGTAGGTCTTTTTTCAGGCCTTGAGCAGTTGACATTCACGACGTGGCTGATAAGGCGTCAGTATGCTTCAATCAAAGTGCTTGTCAGATTGTCTACCAGCATGTGGAACCATACATTTCCAATGTCGGAATTTCGAGGGGCTGTGTTTCAATTTTTTTTATCTTTACAAACCGTCAATCCCACAAGCACACCCGCTTCATGATTGGCCAGGTGTACAGAGATGAGAAAGTAGCCTATGCAGGATTTGAACTTCTCTCTCAAGCTTCTTTTTTCATACTTCCACAACTACTTCCATCACCTCTCATGTGTGCAACTAAGTGCAATGTCATGAATGCCTTAAGATATGAGCTCTGGGTGTGCAATGTTCGCAACAATTGCTATGTATAAGCTCGGACGAGTCAAGCTCTCTCTGGGCAGGATTTAAAATTACTCTCTGACAATGTAGTGGGAGCTGTGGACAAATGTACACATCAAAACACAGGAAGGTTGCTGTTACAAACAAAATAGTGAAAAGCTGCACGTGGCTTTTTCGCAAAATATTACATGGTTGCATGCTACCATTGTACCATTGTTTGTTCTTCTGGTCTTTCAATAATACATCGACTCTCTGGCTACTGGTGTGTTTTGAAGGAGATAAAAAGAAAGTGATGTAGCTGAGGATTTCACAGACCAACATTACAATGAAGGGTGCACATGCGAGGTTGTCCTAAAGTATGGACCATTATCCCCATTTAATAGTTCATTGCTTTTCATCCGTCTCTATGATGGCTGGCTTTTTACCACTGTTGCATACAATGTGTTAAACCCTTAAGTGCTGATGCTAATTTAGCAGCTCATAGGCTTATAGGACATTGAATCGCAATTATATGGTATCAAACTTAAAAAACGCCCAAGACATTTCAATAGTAGATAGAATCTCTTTGAAACACTCTAAATAGTTATCCCCAGTTGCATAACACAGAATATCCGTTTGTCAATGTTATCAGAGCATTAAGTTTGGACACGTTTTGGATTTTTATTCTCTGCCATAATGAAGTGAACTTGGATATGTTTAATGGAAATACTGTAGTAAACAGTGAGAGGTATAATTGAAGTGTGATTTATGTGAATCCTCATAGGTTTAATACACTGAGTCAGGAAGGAGGTCTGCCATCAGCGAAGGGTGACTGAGGAAACCAGCTGAGGTTATCCGCCTCTAAAGTTCATTGACCTGTTTGATTTCTCTGGCTTAGTAAGGACAGCATCTTGCCAAAGCAAACTGAGGACACGATTATCTGGCTCTTATTTTAAGCTCCACACTAATCCTTTCTTGTCCTCTTTAGAGTCGTTAAATTTGCAGACAATACTTTCTTTTGATGTCTAGAATATGAAAAGATTGTTTCCTTGCTCTGGCACTGTCTATGTCTCTTGTGATGCCTCTGATCACTGTGAAGAACCAACGTTTCACTCTCGTATCCCTCTGCCAGGTTAACAGCTCGGCGCTCAAGAGACAAACTCCTTTTTTCAGATCACTCATTTCTCCCTTATCACCATAAAAGAGAGAACTAAAGGCTCACTGGCATGGTTGAGGCCAAAGAGGGATTCTGGTTGGTGTCCCTCACCTTGCTCACTCCTTCCTTTGACAGTTGGCCGAGCAATGAATCACACTCTCAGGCCTGCAAGAGTGAGTGAGATCCCAAAGAGAGGAGAACGTCATCGCCACACATTGTCTACTCTATGCCAAGAGACGATTGTGCTGCCTGGTGCTATGTCATGTTTTGAGCAGTCAGGAAGAAGCCCAGATACAGTCTATGAAAGGAATACTCCTGCATCTTTAAAGGCATTTTCTATTCCCATGCATTCATTAACTCTGATTACATTGTTCTCTTTGATTCATGTGGGCCAGACTCTAAAGATTCTGGATGCATGTACTCTAATAGTGTGATTAGTATGCATCTCACAATTTATAGCCAGAATGTCACACCGCCACAAGCGGGGAGGTGTGTTGTGTGTTTATTTTGTCCTTTTTTGGGAGTGTGAGAGGTGCTTGGTGGGTTTTCTTTTTTGTTTGTCTGTGTGTGGTTTCTGTCTCTCTCCCTCTCGCTCGTCCTTTCCTTCCTCTCCCTCAGGGCGGAGTTGTGGGCAGCGCCACTGGAACACTGGGCATTTCTCCCCAGCTGCAGGCAATCTGCTTTTGGCACACCTGTCTCCTGTGATCATCAGGACTGGCTCTTATACCCTGCCATCTCCTCAGTTCCCTGCTGGATTATTAAGTCATGTCTGTAGGTGAAACTACAACCTGCTTGTACCTGCCTTGTGTGACCTTTGTGCCTGTGTTGACTCTGTTTCCTTCTGCCCTGCTTTTGTGTTCCTAGAGACCCTGCTCTGCTCTTGTGCCACTCTGATTACGGAGAATGCCTAGTTGGAGATTCACCATCAGACTCACTTCTCAGTCCGCCACCCATTTCCCTGACTTGCCTGCCTGCGCTCTTACCCGCCACACCAGAGGCACCTTTCCCCCAGCATCAAACCTGTCTCACCAAATCTTGTGTTCAATAAACTGTGTGAAAACCTTCCTGAACTGTGTTCTTGTCTGCACCTGGGTTCTGAGCCACAAAATCCCTGACACAAATCCAAATTATCGAATTTAAATAACATCAAGGTGCACTATTTACAGTACTTCCTGAGAGTGAACCTGAACACTTTCTATTTGGACAGTTATACTTCAATACTTATACTTCAATTGTTATTTGGATTGGCAACTCATATAGAAATTCTTAAATCCTTCCTGACAGAACAGCAATGGGGGTGGGTCGAATCTTGAAGTGAAGCATTAAAAATTTAAGAACAAGCATTTGTCGTCTGCATCCATAAATCTATTTTCAGTGTCTGGTCTTTATATCTGTTTTTTCTAAGATGGTCATTATATTATGATGGTGAGAGCTCCACTGTAATCACAAGTGACGAGGCATTCTCAGGTGATATCCTCCCATCTATTCTTCGTCTCCATGAGGTCACTGTTAGCTCTTGTCAGTTGTCACACTAGTGCATTGTTTATGGAGAATTATTTATGCTTCTGAATTACTTACAGGTTGTAATAAATCAAGGTAGCCGTAATGATGTGGACTGGGGCACTGTTAAGAAGTCAGTATATCCAGAACAATATGGAAGACACCAATGCATGTTGCATGTTGTAGCATGTCTAAAAATGTAATTAACGGGTAATGATCGATTGTTTTGCTATGTATCTCACTATGGTTATGGTGGTTATTGGGGGACAAGACTGCAGGAAGTCACTGCACCCGGAGAACTTGTTCTTTTAACACATCAGTTTGTGTTTTCTGTTTCCCCAAGTCCAGGCTTTGTGCTACGCTAAGCTAACCGACATTTGGCAGAAGTGCCAGTAGCAGTAGTAATTAGTTTTATATTTATTAGACACACATAAGTGTGGTATCAATCTTCTCATTTCCCAAAAGGCAAAAGTTTTTATCTTATTGTAAAAACTGTAAAACTTTTCCTTCAAAAAATGTTCTTCTTATAGTTAAGAAGTTACGTAGTTTAGTAGTTCCACACAGTGAGGTTATTAATTTTAAACAGAAATAAGAGAAACAGTAGCTGATACTAATCAGCCAATACCATGAGTTTAAGTATCAGAGTCTATATGGGAGAGGAAAAGGTGTGATTGTGATAACAGTCAGTCCATAACTGGAGGAGAAGTGCCTCAGTGTCACCACATTCGCCAAAAATCATCTCTGACAACACGCATCCAACTAAAGAGATCAGATATGAGAAGTAAAATTCTACACTCATGCAAATGTGTGCCAAATCTCTTTACTAAGTACATTTGATCTCATCTGTATTTCATCTGGTTCCACCATTTTTTTATTCACACAAAGGTAACACACAGAGCTCAGATATAACTATAAGTGAGTGAACAGAAGGAGAGTGCGATCAAATGTTCAGAGTACTCTGAGCTCCACCCCCAGCTTAAAAAAACCCAAACTGATCCGAGTTTTCCTGACATGCTGTAAATGTCACAAGGTGTTCTCACACACAGTTCAAGTTCAAAGTGCTATTCTGCAACATTGCAATGTCTATTGTGAGTCTCTTCTCCTTTGCTACATTGCATCATCGCGGGCTGATGTAAGCTGGTGAACACAAAGGAAAACACAGCGGCTCATACTCAGCGCCATTACTTTGGGGAAGCCTGTCCTGCAGTTCCTGTTGTCATTTAATAGTCCACACCCAGACACCACGCCAAACATCTGCCAGTGTCTGGCTGTCCCAGTTCTGGTAAAACTACAGATCCCTTTCAGCCAAGTGCTGGGCAGGATGATGATGACAATGTATCCTGAGAACAATTGTATGCAAGATGGGACAACAACAATAAGAAATTTGGAACATTCTTTACTCATTTCAAAGAAAGGAGCTGAGAATATGAATCAGATGAAAGAAAGGATCCATAAATTATAACAAAAAATTATGAAAATGCAGCGCTGTTGTGGGTGGTTGAGTTTTCTAGTTCTAATAGAGGTGGGGACTGTTGGATACAGCTGTCTGTGCCATCACTGGCGATGCCAAATTCTGCAACACATCTAAGAGTTGGCGTCATTTCCTGATCTGAATTCAATGAAATGGAAAAAAGCGGGTCATCCAGTTTTATTCATGTGAATCCCACCCAAACCCACTGAACTTCACCATTGCCTGATTTTCCACTTCAAAGGAATATTGTGAATGTGGCCCTTTTTTCCCGGTTTGTGAGTAAAGCTTCTAATCAGATTGGGACTCGGTTGGAGTTTACTCTAAGACTGACTGTAAATGTGAAATCAGGCATTAGACATTGCAGGCTACTTGAAAAAAAAGTTTTCTCTTCCTGTGGCACTCTCTGTGGAGCTGGCGTACTTTTGACAGCACCTCAGGGATAAATGCTGTCACATTAACAAAGAACAAGAACAAAGCTTACCTTAGAAGCAAGGCATATTAGGGGAGGTTTGAACTAGAAGGACATAAGGGAATGAACCCCAAGAGTACGTCCAATGAATAAACAGATTTTGACCCACTTTAATCCTGCAGCCATTACTGTTAAATAGGGTGTTCATTTCATATTTTGTGACAGAACTTGAAAAATTACATTTGTTGAGAGAAACAGAAAGAAGCAAACAAAAAAGGACATCAAAAAACTAAGAAAGAAACAAAAAAAAAAGAAAAAGGAGAAGACACAAAAGATAAAGAACAATTGTGAATTTATATGCTCATTAATATCCAGTACAGAGAGAACCTAATTACAAGCCGAGAGTCTTGATGAAACAGCTGTCTAGTGGTTGGTACCTCCCTATTCATCCATCATGGCAGTCTGGGTCCATCGCCCACCTGTGAAAAAAACAGCACAGCACAGCACACCTCTCCTCTCATTACTGGTGGAGATGGTGCAGCAATGGAGCTCACTGGTTCCAAATTAACCTCAATAATGGTTCGACAGCTGGGATACTTTTCCATTATCTGTCTTTGGAGCAGGGCCTCACTTGGCAGCGTATGATGTATTCTCTAATGATACAATGACAATCACATACTACATTTGGTCAACGTCACAAGTTGGTTTATCAACAGAAAATTAATCTGCAACAATTCTGATAACTGATTTATCACTGAGTCAGTTTTAAAGCTCAGACATTTGCTAGTACAGCCTACTAAATGGGAGTATTTTCTGCTTTTTTCTGTTTTATATCTGTGTAAAAAGAACACCATTTGGGTTTGGATTATGGTTGCATTTTCTTTTTTTCTACATTTTGTAAACATACAATTGATCAATTAATCCAACGTTAATCAATAATGAAAATAACTGTTAGTGGTAGCACTGTGTTTTACTTTGTAAAGCAGCTTTAACAGCCATTGTACATGAAATGTGTCATATTAGGTAAAACTGACTTGAATTTAAAATATAGTTTTTTGGACAATGAATCAATCTATGAAATCATATCTAATACTAATCCTACTGCATACAGGTATTTGTCATATTTGTGAGTATTATTCTGTACATTTGAGAACAGTGAAAAATCTGAAATGACACCAATCAAATATTTTCAATATTTCAATAATTTGTACTGATAATGATCATATGTGTGTGTGTGTGTGTGTGTGTGTGTGTGTGTGTGTGTGTGTGTGTGTGTGTAGCAGGTCTGAGTTCTGCAAAAGGATAGCTTGGAGATAACCTGGTGACGTCACAGCCACAGTCAGGTCTGCTATCTCTCCCTGACAGCAGGGCCGTGCGTCACTCCTTACATGCCGAGCCAGCGAGAGAGAGGACTGGAAGAGGTGTTAGGGAGGGAAGGAGGACAGAAAGGAGTTGAAGCGCCTGGAAGATGCTTCGGATCCTTCAGAGGAGGAGAGTGGGATCTGGGCCAGGCTGACACTAAAGTGGGAGAGTTTTTAATAAGAATAAGGAGGGACAGAGGGAGGAGATGGGATGAGTAAGGGAGATCACAGAAAAGGACTCTTTGCAGTGAGTGGTAAACAGTGGGAGAGAGTGAAAGACAGGGCAGAAAGAAACAGCAGGGGAAATCTTTTGGAAGAATAGAAATGCATAAATAAGAAAGGAAGGAAGAGCCCAAAAAGGGGGTTATCTGAAGTGACAGAGAAATAAACAGAGTGAGATGGGAGCAGGAGGAGCAGGTCCACAGTTCAACATATGATAATGAACATTTTAACAAGAAGAAAAAGCAATATGATTCAAAGAATCTGGAGCAAGGCTCGTCATTGTGCTAAAGTGCACCAGCTTGTACTCCAGCTAATTATATGCACTGTTGTGCGATAATTACATTCATGCCCGTCTCGTTTGAAGGGGAAAAATTCTCCCTATGGATTTCTTCTATCACATTGCTCAAAACTCCAACATCAACACGGCCACAAACATATCGTCTTTAATTTATGGTTTTCAGGATTAAGTAAATATAAAAGAATCTGAGGAAAGTTATAAAACAGGAATTCAAGGAAAGAAAAGGTGGCAAGACATTCTAACCTTGCATATTTGTGTGAATATACATACATAATTACACTGATACCATTTCAGACACACAACTCACATGAAACTAATTATGTAAATTAAGAGTACATACTGTTCAGAGTGGTGTGTTGATCTGACCTTGTGACTCCCTGCACGCATCCACCAAGCTCGGCACAGAGATTGAGAGGAGTGACAAACGCAGACATCTCAATTTTGAGATATACACTTTTACCGTGTTTTTCTGGGCCCGAGCACGAACTGTGCGAGATCCCTATTGAAACTGAAGGGATTTTTTTTTTCTTCTGCAAAGTAACCTCAAGTTTGGGGGCCTAAACATACTCGAAAACTCACCAAACCTTGCACATAATTCAGGCGCGACGAAAAAAATTGTATTTTATGGGTTTCCTGCATGGGCGTGGGGAAATGGCTTGCTAGGGGCCCCCTACAGAGCAGCCCCTGGACAAAATTTCACCTACGAATACGAAATTTCTGTGGCACATGTATCATGTCCAGACGTACAAAAAAGCCTCTTGGAGCGATGCCCGACACCCAACAGGAAGTCGACCAATGGTCTT